TTGGGATTGGATGGTTGCCTTCGGTAAGCGTCGCAGAGAAGCCGTTCTTGCATCTGCCTAATCGCAGTGATTCTGATAATAATGGGACTTGTGTGTTTTTCAGTGTCCTGGACCTCTGGTTTTGTCGTCTTTTAGCTGTTTGTGGTTTGGTTTTCTTGTGTTGGGCCTAGGCCCGACTTGGAGTCTCGTTTACTCGTCATGTACCTTACCTGAGTGAAATAAATAAAGGAATAAAGAACTCTATAGCCTCTACTTCTTGGACTGTCAGTTAACAAACTATCAATATACTTAACGAAGATCAGAAAATTTACTGAGATGAAACGATCATCGAACTAACCAATGGAAAGTGTTATCTTGGAAATATAAAAATTAGGCAAAAAAATATTTTTAAGATAAATTACATTATACATTCTATGTTTTAAAAGCTATCACATTTTATACTTCGATTTTTTCATATATTACATTTAACTTTTTTAAAATTTGAGATTTACATCAAATAAAAACTAAAAACACTAAAATGCCCTTTATATAAATAAAGCACACCTATATGCCAGCTCCACACATTTTCTTCTCACTCTCTCTTCCCTATCTCATTCTCTCTCAAAGACAACTAGAGATTTGAAATGTGAGCCTGGAATTGCTAGCCAAATTGAAGCTAGAAAACCTAAGAACTCATAAAGTAAAATTGTTTGAAGTTTTTTTTTTTTTTTACTCGTAATATTTAGTGGACATAGAAAGTTGAGATCTTGGTAAGTTAAAATCCTAACTCTAAGTAAATAATTTTTTTATTATTTCTTTTAAGTCTCGAAAGAGACAATTTCTTATACTAATTAATCTAATTTATTGCGGTTTCTTAACAAATTAAATCCCTGATATGTTCTTTTTTTTTCGTCCCCTTTTGGCCTTAACTTGTTTGTTGTAGGAATATCATTTGTTAATATATATGTTATTGATATTTATATGGGTTGAAATATTAGTTTCCCTGTGTCTTCTGTCATTGTTCATAAGATTTGTCAATGCTTGTTTTTTCAACAGAGGACTTCAAGGGCAATCTAGACATTTTATTTTATTTAATATACCAATCTTTGTTGAACTTAATTTTGGCTCCCAATTTTTTTATTTTTCTTTATTTGTTTGTTTATTTTATTGTTTGACATTTTGAAATTATTTTCTCTTCAAATAGAATGATTAAAAAAATATTTAAAAGTACATAGTGATACCGTACATTTTAAATAAGATTAGACTATTTTGCTATTAATAATAATGATTATTAGTAAAATGATTAGTTTTTCATTTATTAATGTTTAACAGTTTTTATAAATTAATTATTATTTTTTATTTCTCATACAATATTATAAAAGTGATTAAATAATGATTTTTTTTTTATTGAAACTCGCTCTTAAAATTGTGAAAAAAAAATTGTAGCCAAAATAAAAATATAAAGACAAATAAATCACGTTTTTTGAAAAAGAAAATACATATGGCAAGAAAAAATTAATTACATATAGAATTTTTATTTTAATTATTGATTTATTTTTTGTTTTTAGTATAATAGAACAGAATTAAAAAAAAACAAACATAAATATGTTATTATACAAAAAAGAATAATAAGACTTATTGATAACAATAACTATTTAAAAATTACTCTTTTGGAATTAAAAAATACTGAGAAATAAATTTGGGAAAACATATTATGAGTTAATATTTTTTTTTTTTTTGTTAATTTTTAAATTCTTTTCAAATAAATGTGACAAGCCGAGGAAACAAAACTCTAAATGTATTGATTCTTTAATGGATAATAGGTGGATTTGATATGTAACTCATTTGCTTTATTTGTACATATTAATATTTCTCAATTTTAATTTAAATTTATTTAAAAAGTTACTAGTTTTTTGAGTTAATGGCTCAAGTTGTCCTTATATAACTAGGTAATTATCCAATATGTTTTTATATCCCTAATTGAATCAATTTTACTTTTAAATATACATTAAGTGTTTCATATATATATATCATTCCGGTAGATTTTAGACTAAATTAAAAAAATTAATCATACCATTGTAAATAAAAGTCTTCTATTTAACTGGTTAGCAAATGCATTTTGAAATATAAATTAATAATGTAAAAATCACATGAATAATTCTGGAGATTTAGTTTGAAAATTTTGACAAAAAAAATATTAAAAACTTAACGTATATTTAATAATGATATTAATTTAATTAAAAATATAAAAATACACATTAAAATTATTTTATTATATGAAAATAAATTTAGCTATTAACCTTAGTTTTTTTTTTATTATTATTAAATTCGTAGCAGTGTGCAGACCCTAGACCTAGTATGATTGTGTAACTAAAGGACTAAGCCCTGTTCCTAGCAGCTTATCTGCAACTACAATTTGAGAGATCAGTGCGTGGGATTTTGTTGACAGACCCTTCCCCAGTCCCCACCCAACCAAGATGTCTTTTTGTTCTTCAGTTTATTGCTTATCTTGGCTATCAAGACTCAAGTGGCATGGCAAAGTAAATAAGTATTAATACCATCGTCATGCATTAATTAATATATATACTCCACGTTAATTTTTTTTATTCCACGATAAAAGATGTTCTAGAATTAGAGTTAATATATTCTAGAGTCAATTTGTGTGCTAATTAAGATTTTTTTTCTTTCCCTGAAGGATCTTAAATATGCATACAACAAGTCGATAATTTAATTAAAAAAATCAAAATTTAATCATAAAAAGTTAACAAAGTAAGCATATCTTCTGAATCACCATATCAACATCTTAAGATTATATAGTCAACATTAATAACATTAAATAAATTTTCATATAAACTAACCTCATATATATATATATATATATAACCGCTACCTAATCAACCTCTTAAGGTTATATAGCTAACATTATTAATAACATCAACTAAATTGATATTATGAGAAATTGTTGATAAACTTCTATTGAAAAAGCGACACCTCACTCCTGTACATGGTTAATTAATGGATTTCTTGTCTCTATAGTCAAAGTCTCTCTTTTTTTCCCCAAAGTCAAATTAAGTTCAGCATTAAAAAAATAAAAATATTTAACTAGATCATGTGTTGGCATCTTCGATTTCTGATTTTTTGCGTGCAGATTATATTAATATATTTGTTTATGAATATGATTATGTAAGCAAATACATCAAAACAAATATCTTGTTTCGAAGTCAACAGTCTGTACCTTTAATTAACTGAATTCTTTCGAACTCACACAGAATCAACAAAATTAAGGCCAAAGAACAGAAAGTTCAAAGGCAGTGTTTGCCGCCCAAGCAAGGCTATTCGATTAAATTAACAAAAAAAAAAAATGATGGGTTGCTGTTCAATTACTATTTGAAACATTATATTCTGTGAGGTATTATACTGTGGACTTAGACTCATGGTGGCTGTTCCTTTCGCTGTTATCTTCCCATGTCGCTTTTTTTGCTGTTCATTCTTTCCTCATTTCTTCTCCATCATTGGATTGTCCTCACTTTTCTATCAACAAAAATAAAAAACCGCATTCGTCCAAACCTAGATTTCCTTTCTCTCTTGCTCAAAAATGGCAGCGTAACTCTCCTCTCTCCTTCTCCACCCCCACAGCCTCATTCTTTTCAAACAAACCTTTACTCTCTCTCTCAAACGAACCCATCTGTTTCACACGCATCGCTTCCACCTTCGCCTCTCCTAAACCAAAACCCAAGCTCCCTGCAAACCTCTGAAGTGATGCTACTTCTCTCTCTCTAAAAATTAAGACAAAGGTCGTGGTAAAAAGAGGAGAGAAATACATAAGGAAATAGACTGAGAAGATGGGTGGTTATGGCAGGTTGGAAGGAGAAAATTGATATCATGTGAGTTTTTTTTTTTTTTTTTTTTACCTCTTCATTTAAATCGTTTGACTTTCGTTCTTTCTAACAATTTTAGAAAAAATCGAACAAACAAAGATATGTTTTTGAACAGATATTTGATAATGAGGAAAGTTCCTACTTTGGGATGCGATGATGATTTGTTAAAATTTTTTGCCTCTTATGGAGATGTTGAGGAGTAAGTAAAACTCACTTCTCCTCTTCCTCTGTGTGTGTGTGTGTGTGTGTGTGTGTGTATTCTTTGGTTTTCCTAATTGTTGTTTAAAAAATTGGTTGAAGGTGTAAACCAATGAATGCAGAAGATTGTGAGCAATTTACTGATGTTTGCTAGATTAAGTTCCATCGGATCAGTAATGCAAGGCGAGCTAATTCATTCATAGTTGTCTTTAACTTCTACACTTACTTCTTTCATTCATTTTTACTTCTCCAATAATGTTTCATCATGTGGGTAATTTTCAAGTTTGTTGAAAGAAAATTGGACAAATCTATTTTTCTAAAGAACCCTTTGCAGGTACCCTATGCTCCTCATTTTGAGAGACACGAAGGATAAGTTAGAATGCATAAGGAAGGAAGTTCTGCACGATTGAGTTGTTAGTTTCTGTTTCTGTAAAGAATTGGTTGTTTTTTATTATTGGAATTTGTTTTCTATTAAGGATTTTGTATCTCTGTGTATTAAGTCAATCCTTTATGATTTCAGTTGGAAGAACCAGAGGTCCTAGAGTTCATCATCCGGGTGCCATTGCTTCCATCATAGATTGTCGACATTTCTCCACTTTGACTCTAATCAATTTTGGTAGGCTATTTAAATTTTCTGACCAATTTTTTAAGGATTTTATATCTTTGTGTATTTAGTCAATCTTTTTATGGTTTTAGCTGGAAGAACCAAGGGTCCTAAAAGTTCATCACCAGGGTGCCTCGAGCCATATTTAATTGCTTCCATCACACTCAGCACTTAAAACTATAATCATTCTATAATGTGCATTGTCTTTGTTTTTTTCCCTAAGATTTTTCCCCTTTTTATTCCCGCAGCGTAATGCGGGTTATCAACTAGTTAACACTATAGATAAACACTATAAATAACAATGGGTGCTAAGGAATTATCCCCATACAAACCTCTCAGTCATGGCTGAAGTGAAGCTGATTGGAACATTGCCTACCCCATTTGTTTGCCCAGTGATATGGGCACTAAAAGTAAAGGGCATCCCGTATGAGCTCATAGAAGAAGATGTCACCAATAAAAGTCCTCTGCTTCTGAAGTATAACCCTGTTCACAAGAAGATCCCAGTTCTTCTCGATGGCAGTCAACCAGTTTGCGAGTCCATGATTATTGTCGAATACATCGATAAGATGTGGCAGCAAAATTCCTTGCTGCCTCATGACCCATACGAGAGAGCTCTGGCTTGTTTCTGGGTCAAATTTACCGAAGATAAGGTACAGAGTACAGACATCACTGTTCATTTCATACAATACTATACAAACGGACTTCTCAAGCTTAATTTTATTTACTCCATTTATTTTTTATTAATTAACGTCATGATTAAATATTCTGGCTGCAGTGTCCCTCAGTGTTGAGAATATTTCGTGCTAAAGGTGAAGAACTTGAGAAGACAACGAAGGAAACAGAGGAAATGTTACAAACCGTAGAAGAACTCGGATTAGGGGAGAAGAAATTTTTTGGAGGAGACAGCATAGGGATGGTAGACATAGCCTTTGGAGCGGTTATTCACTGGTTGTAAATCATTGAAGTAGTAGGGCAAAGAGTAGTGTTTGAAGCCCATAAGTTTCCTCGCCTGCATGAGTGGATTCAAAATTTCAAACAAGTGCCTCATCGAAGAAAACCTTCCAGATTGGGACAGGACGATTGCCTTCTTTAAGGGTCACAGAGAAGCAATGCTTGCATCCGCCTGGTCGCAGTGATACTAATAACAATGGGGTTTTGTTGTGTGTTTTTCAGCGTTCTGGACCTGTGGTTTTGTGTCTTGTCTATTCTTGCTTTCTTGACGTCCTTTTAGCTGTTTGTAGTTGGTTTTTGTTGTAATGGGTTTGGCATATGCCCGCCTTTGACTCTGGTGGAATACTCAATGGCTTCTAATCTTCGACCGACGATTAAGCAATGTTCAATCAAACTGACCAAAATGAAGAAAACAAAGTCAACTTTCAATATAATAATCAAAAGAAAATTAAATTTGAGTGTCATCGATCCACATCTCTTTGGTGGGTATAAAGAGAAGGAGAGGTGAATATATCACGGCTTGTTATTGTTATTCAAATCCCAGATATATTTTGCGTACATGTTATTGTTTTTCAAATCCCTAATAAATCCTTTTTTGTTCTAATGTTGATTTTTTCCGACCCCTCCCCAGCCCCACCCACCCAAGATGTCTTTTTATCCTTGAGATTATTACCTATCTAGTATATCGAGAGGCATGTCAGAGTAGATTAAGTATAAATATCACAGTCAAAGACGCATATCATACCGCAACGCCTATAAAATGGTATATATAGTCCACATTAATTCATTTTTCTATTTGATAACATCAAATGTCCTAAAATCAATTTATATGTTAATTGATATTAGTTTTTACAGATCACCGATGCAATTCCAATTCCGAAACAAGAAATTACAGAGTAATGCAAGAGCAATGATGCAAGAACAATGGATTGAATTATTTGAATAAAAACCGAAATGAACTCCATACAATGGTAATTGATAAATCAAAATTACAAACGATAAAGGAAGAAATTGTTACCGAATAGAAGAAACAAGAGCGAGAAGATAGAATTTCGGAAAAGAGATTACGGAGAGAATCCGGAGAGGGAGAAAACACCAAATCTTCCCGCCTACAAAAATGTGTTTTCCCTTATTTATAAATGAATTCTCTAAGCTAATTGACTCCGTAACTATCTTGTAACAAATTCCTAACTACTCCTCACACTTATTTATAAATGAATTCTCTAAGCTAATTGACTCAGTAATCGTCTTGTAACAAATTCCTAACTACTCCTCACACTCTTCACACTCCAAACTTATTCCGCCTTTGTTATCGACTTGTAACATATTTGCCACCTCACTTGCTCGTTAGTGATTAAATGTGCATGCATGATCCGCATGATCACTATCGCACTCGTAGCCTCCTCAAAACCATGCACACCTAATCTACAACATAACAAAACTCCCCACCTAAGCAACCTTGTCCTCGAGGTTAAAAGAAAGAAATACGTTAGCCATGTCAAAGGCAAACTCCCACGTAGCATCACTAGGTGTTCCGGTTGACCATTGGATAAGGAGTTTAGTGATGACTTGGTTGTCACATTTCACCATCTTCCTATCCAAGATGGCTACCTGGAATTGCGAGATAATCCTACTACCATAGGTAACTCTTCTTGTGTTGTAATCTTGCTATAGGAAGGCTTGAGTCGTGAAACATGGAAAGTTGGGTGAATCAAGGAACTAGGGGAAGTTGAAGAGTATAAGCAACTTCTCCAACCTTATCAATGATTTTATAAGGTTCATAATATCGGGGGACAGTTTCGACTCTTCCTTTGGACCATATTTTGTTTTCTATAAGCTTGAAGCTTAAGATAAACCCACTCCTCTATCCGAAAAACTCTTTCAAACCTGCCTTTATCGACCCATCGCTTCATCCGTGATTGAGCTTTAGTTAAATTGTCTTTGAGCGGCTCAATGACGACCTCCTTGTCTCGCAAAAAGTCATTCACTTCTCTCTGCTTGCAATCGTTTGCAAAGTAAGGAAGATGCACGGGAGGGTAATACCCGTATAAGGCTTCAAAAGGAGTTCTTTTGATAGTTGAGTGAAATGAGGTGTTGTACTAGTATTTCGCCAAGCACGACCACTTACACCATACCTTAGAAAGAGATAAGGTCATGCATTGCGGGTAAGTTTATAAGCATTTATTCACAACCTCGGCTTGTCCATCCGTCCGTGGATGGTAGGCAGTGGAAAACTTGAGGGAAACTCCTTGGTATCGCAAACAACCCCTTCCAAAACTTGCTAAGAAAAATGGAATCTCCGTCCGAGATGATATTCCGTGGTAGCCCATGCAATTTATAAACATTCTCCATGAAAGCTTTGGTTACCACACTCGGCGAATAGGGATGAGACAGAGGTATGAAATTAACATATTTTGTCGACCTATCTACCACCATAAAAATAGCCGATTTCCATCGAGATAATGGCAAGCCTTCAATAAAATTCATAGTAATGTCCGTAAAGATAGCTCGAGGTAATGTTAATGGATTGAGCAACCCCGGACTAGCCACATTCTCATACTTACACTCGGTGGCAAATAGACCGGTTCCTCGCAAACTCCTTTACTTCAAGGTTAAGCCCCCTCGGTAAAACCATGGTGACGAGTCTCTTAATAGTGGCCGCAACTCTAGAATGGTCACCGCGACTCGAATCATGGAAATAGGAAATTATTTCCTTATGTAATTTCGCATTTCTCCCCATAACCAATCCGCCATTTCTTCTCAATTGGTCATCTTGCCACTTATACTTGGGATGGACTCGCTCCCGAAACTTGCAATTGTGATATCACTTACGCCAATGCATGATCCGAAGACTAGGACTCTCTAATCTTCTCCATTAAATCAGCGAAATTGAAGAAGTAGCTAGAGTAGTTAGTTGCACCCTGGATAGTGCATCTACCATCATATTTTCTTTTCCCTTCTTGTAGATAATTTCGTAATCATATCCTATAAGTTTTACTAACCACTTAAATTGGCTAGCAGTGTGTATATTTTGGTCTAACAAATGCTTCAAACTCCGGTGGTCCGTACGGATGATGAAGTGTCTATCACTCAAATAGGAGTGCCATTTCTTCACTCGCAAACGGAATAGTAGCAAGCTCCTTTTCGTATAGTAATAACAACCGGTGCTTAGGTGAAAGTTGCTTACCGATGAAAGAAACTAGATGTCCCTTTTGCATTAAAACAACGCCTATACCCATTCCGGACGCATCAATCTCAATAACAAACTTCGCTTGTAATTGTGGTAATGCCGACACATGGGTGGTGGTCATGGCTTGCTTCAACTCCCGAAATGCTGCATTTGTCTTTGAATTCCAAGTAAATGCATCTTTTTTAGTATATCGGTGAGTGGTCCGGCTATCTTACCATAATTCCTCATAAATTATTTGTAGTAGCCGGTAAGCCCCAAAACCCTCTTAGCTGCTTCGAGTTTATAGGTACCGGCCATCGCTACATTGCCTCTATCTTTCGTGGATTTGTCCGTACCCTCGTTGCAAAAATAAAATGCCCCAAATACTCTACCTTGGTGGTTCTAAATGTGCATTTGGATTTTTTTACAAATAAAGTGTTCTCCCTCAATATGGAAAGAGTGGTTTGTAGATGCAAAACATGTTCGAGCATAGTTTTATCGAAAACCAAGATGTCATCAAAGAAAACCAAAATAAATTTATGCAAAAATGGTCTAAACACATCATTCATAAGGGATTGGAAGGTACTAGGGGCATTAGTTAAACCAAAGGGCATAACTAAGTATTCATAGTGTCCATTGTGAGTTTTAAAAGCCGTTTTTGGAATATCCAACAAATTCATCCTAATCCGATGATAACCAGCCCTTAAAACTAATTTAAAAAACACCACCGACCCTTGTAACTCCTCTAATAATTTCTCAATGACTCGGAATTGGAAATTGGTCCTTGATAGTAAGCCGATTCAATCTTCCGTAGTCCACATGCATCCTTCACATGTTATCTTTCTTCTTCACTAACACCACGGAAGAAGAAAAAGGACTAGTGCTAGCTTGAATGATGCCATTCTCCAACATATCTTTAACTTACCGCTCTATTTCATCCTTTTGGATTGAATGGTACCTATAAAGCTTCATGGTTACGAGCTCGGCTCCCTCATTGAGCCTTATTTTATGATCATGACTTCTTTTTGGTAGTAGTCCTTTTGGCTCTTCAAAAACATCCTCAAATGCATCACTACCGCCCTTAACTCCAAGGGAATCGATGCTCTATGGTTACCTTCATTTTTTCTAACTCTCACACTTTAGGCTCAATCAATGCATTCAATTGGATCCATATCAAGTGACTCGCTCGCAGCAAATATTTATGTCTACCTTCATTTCTTCCCTAGTTTTACTTTCGTTGACCCTCTTTCCTAATAAGTGTGAACAACCTAGTTCCCATTTGAAATCTCATCCACATGTGTTGGAAGTTCCAAGTGATATCACCCAATGCATAAAGCTAAGCTATCCTTAATATCATGTCATACAACCGCAATTGCATTACAAACACCGATGTTTCAAAATCAGCCTTTGTATTTTCCACTTAAAATCCTTACACATATATCCACATATAATGTTTGCACCATCAACAACCTTCACCGTGATCGGCTCAATATGAGTCGATTGCAATTATTCCTTCGACAAATCCTAAGTCCATAAAATTATGTGTACTTCCAGTATCCACCAAAATATTCATTCTTTTCCCTTGTAAATTTCCTATGATTTTCATAGTCCGGAAATGCTCCCTCTAAACACTCGCTTATATTGATCTCCGACATAATTCCCCACTATAGTTCCCCGTATCTAGTGGCTCTCCCCCTAATAATTCCTCCTCACTCATCTCAATCTCCTTCATATTATTACCATCCTCCTCCATTTCTAACATTAACATTTGCCTTTCCTTACACCTATCATCTCAATCTCCTCCACATTATTACCATCCTCTTCCACTTCTAACA